GGGGTGGGACCCTCCTGGGGGATTTTGGGGTTCTGCAGAGGTGGGGCTCCCCTTGGGGGGCTCCCCAGCCATCCCTTTCGGGTCTGTGGCTGGGCCAGGCGGGACGGGGGCTCTGGGGGGGTTTTGGGGAGGGGGCTGTCCCCGATGCCCGTGTCACCTGCGCAGGCGTGTCGCGGGGGGTGGGCTTCATCCGCTTCGACAAGCGCGTGGAGGCCGAGGAGGCCGTGCGGGGGCTGCACGGGCAGAAGCCCCTCGGGGCCGCTGAGCCCATCACGGTCAAGTTCGCCAACAGCCCCGGGCAGAAATCGGGGGGGGCCCTGCTGAGCCTCTGCCCCGGGGCCCGGCGCTACGGGGCCCTGCACCCCCCCCCGCAGCGCTTCCGGTGAGGCACGGGGCTGGGGAGACCCCCGGGAGGGGGGGAGACCCCCGGGAATGGGGGAGATCCCCGGGAGGGGGGGAGACCCCCGGGAGTGGGGAGAGACCCCCGGGAGTGGGGGTCCTGGGGGGGGGATATCCCCGGGAATGGGGGTCCTGGGGGGCTGGGAATGGTGGGAGACCCTCGGAAATGGGGGAGACCCCCGGGAGTGGGGAGAGACCCCCGGGAGTGGGGGTCCTGGGGGGGGGATATCCCCGGGAATGGGGGTCCTGGGGGGCTGGGAATGGTGGGAGACCCCCGAGGGGGGGAGAGACCCGGGAATGGGGGAGACCCCCGGGAGTGGGGGAGACCCCCGGGAATGGGGAGAGACCCCCGGGAATGGGGGACACCCCTGGGAATGGGGGTCCTGGGGAGTTGGGAGATGGATATTCCCGGGAATGGGGGTCCTGGGAGGTCAGAGGGGTGCGACCCCCCCGGGAACAGAGGCACTGGGGGTCCTGGATGGTCCAAGCGGGTGGGAACAGAAACCCCAAAGACCCCGGGAGTGCTCAGAGGGGGGGTCTCTGGGGGTGGGACCCCCCTGGGCACAGGGACCCCCCGTTAACCTCCTCTCGTCCCCCCCCAGACTGGACAATTTGCTGAACGTGGCGTATGGGGTGAAGAGGTAACCCCCACCCCCCAAACCCCCCA